GACTTGAAAATACTGACCTTGTTCAGTAGGGTTTCTGGAAGAAACAGTGCAGCCAGGAAGTTCTGATCCTTCTCACCCAGTTTATTCCTTGTTCAAATCCTCTTCTTACTAAAATCTACTTACTCCACTGCTTACTGTGGTAATGCCATCTTGCTCACGCCGTCATCTCCTCTTCTTATGTGAATCCTGTCTCTTGCCTAGCAGTTGTCCCCATTCCCTAATAGGCTAAAATAAATCCAAGAACATTTCTCTGAAAGAATGTGAAATGTAAAACCTTTCCAGTGCATTCAGTGCATTTGAAATACAACTTGTCTTACTTTGACAATCATTCATCTAAAGGTACTGAACTTTGAATATAATTACAGCACAAGCATCAAGCTGTGGGATTTCGTATTTTTCTTTTGCTTTGGTTTTTTAAATATGTATTCTCTAAGAAATTTACTTGATCTTATAAACCCATCTTTGGCAGGTGTGGTGTGGCTCTGTGCAGAGCCCTGATGATCCATCAAGCCCTGGGAGGACAGTCCCTGAAACAAAGCAGGGTTTAGACCTTGACTCAGATCCCCAACTCACTTGTGCTTAGCATCCGAGGGGAAGTAAATCTTGTTATTCTTGTTCATTGGTCATCCCGTGTCGCCCTTCTTAATTCATTTCCGCTCATCCTTCACCTCCCTGTCTGTGAGCACAAGAGGTTGTCCATTGTAGAATTCCTGTGCTTCACAGAAAACCAGGTATTCCTTGCTCTGAGCACTCAGAGCTCCTTTGCTTCCTCAGGTAGATGCGTTGGTCGTCCCCCCGTCCAGACAGTGGCTTCTGTTCACTTCAGCTCTGCTGTTGTGCTCTCATGAGTGTGTATTTGGCCTGAGTTTCTTTGTTTTGCTTGCTTCTTTCTTTAATTTTTTGTTAGATGATCTTCAGAGTAGGCTCTCTTAACAAATTCTTCTGAAAAAACAAAGCGTATGATGTTTTCACATGCTTGCTGCATGTAGCGTCTTAAAAAGATACCCATTAAGCTAGTTAAGAGACCTTTATCACTTTATCACTTAGCACTGTCAAAGCATGTTTTTCAAGACCATCATTCACTGTGATGTTTTCCATACATCCTATATGCTGAGAGCTGGTATTAAATTAACTAGACAATAACCGTGTGCTGCATAATAGCAATCTGTCGTCCTTCAGCTACTTTACAGATACACCGAGCTTATTTGTGTAGTGTGAAAATGACATTATTCCTCTAAGAACACTCTCTGAAAAGGCTATCTTCTGCTATTAGTGGGAGAGGCATTATTTTCTGACGGAGAAGATCTTAACTTACATGACCTGATCTTCTACTGTTAAAATGCCCCTAACCTCCATTTACTTCACAGTGAAAATAATAGGATGGCAAAATCAATACTGACAGTTCAAGGCAAAAGAAAATCTAGCTGAAGGCTTTCTTCATTTCTGCTTCCCCTTTAAGGCAGGATATGGTATGAATGTGTTTGCTTTCCAGTCGTAGGACTTTGAAAAGCAAAAAGTTTTGGTATCAGAGGCTAGAGGTCAGTGCGTGTACCCAAATCTGCCTGAGTAGCAAGTAAGTATACACCATGCTCACCCATGAGGTTTCTGATTTTTTGCGTATCACCTACATTGCAAATACCCACTTTATTGTGCTATTTCAGGCAGTGCTAGGAGCCTTACTCTCCAAAAAGATTGATATTGTTTTCCTGGCTCTGATTCGAGAGATCGTCATGACAGTTTTGTCAGTGCGGATAAAGTGACCAGGGTCTTCTCTGTGGCTGTTCCATGAATAGGTCTGCTACTGTAATATTTTAATCTTTTTATTTCTGTCAAAAAACTTTCTTCATTTCTGTCTTCATTTCCTTTCAGTCTCTTAGCGATGTATAGCTAGACGTAGTGCTATGTCTATTTTAATATGTGACTAATCTTTTCAGACCCATTTCCACCTCTGTCTCTGCACTACAATTGCTAGATGTATTATTATACCATGGAATATGGTATGCAGCAGTCCATCAATCCTCTTTAGTCATCTAAAGGCAAAATATATGGTAATTGCTTAATAAATCTGCCATTTCTTTATCTCAATCTCCAATCCTCCATTTGCATTTTTAGTAGTTTCATCTTTAGGGCTGGGTGGTCATCTAACCAGGTCAGGATGATGATAGCTAACTTTTATAGTACAGAACGCAATAGGATTCTACGGTGAATTAATGTTTTTTATTAATAATAGGCAGTAAATCTTGATAGAATTGTTAATGCTGCGCATAGCTCCAGCCCTGAAGAGCTGCTCTTGGCTGTTTGCTTTGAAGGCACCTAAAAGTTTTAGCCAAGGAAAAGAAAAAAGAAAAAACATAAAGGTTCTGATCTTGTTTACTACAGTCTTGTCTTACACTATATTCTGTGCAGCATCAAGTTAAGAATATGCCATTACTTCTTTGAAATTTAATTTTCTACTTACCATTTGCCTTCTGAACTTGCTGTCCAAGTTCTGTGCGAGGGAGGTTTAGCAAGAAAACGTTTATTGCTGATCCTACTTGTCTGTGCTGCTTGTCATTTTTGAACAGGAATTTCTACTGGGTAGATCTTCAGATTCAATAATGAGCATTTTCAGAACCATAATTTATATTTTATCAGCTAAACTGTTTGTTTGTGTGTTTGTTTAAACACGTTTGATGCATCCTGCTCACCCTGCTCCTCATGTGAAAAGGTCAAAGTAAGTTCCAAGTCCCCATCTTTATCCAGTGGGAGCTCCATAGCTTGAGCTCCCAGGTGTCTAAAAGAATTCCAAAAATTGCAGCATAAATGCTGTACTGGAGAATTCATAGTTGCAGCTTCCTCCATAGGATTGCATCTAACTTCTGATTACTGTAAATCTCATAAGGCTATGACAGTTGACACTGGGACTTTGGACCATCACAAATCTTGTAAAATCCTCTGCTTACACTTTGCCCTTGCTGGAATAATTACACAGAAATAGAAAAGAAAAAAAAAAATCCTTAAAAAGCAAATAAGACACCAATCCAAAACAAGACAATGATTGCCTGCACTCCTGAAGGACTGTTGTTAAATACTGTATATATTTTCCTCTATTTACTTTGCTTAATAAATATCTAGAAAATATTAAGAGAAATCTGTGAGGGACTCCTGTTGAGCTGTTGGAAGAAATTGCTGCTCGCTACTGTTACAGTCAACAGCACAATCTATGAAAGATATAAAATCCTTCATTTATTTCGAACTGTGTGCCAAAGCAAGAGGAATAATCAATTTATAGAGTGCAACAACACAGATGTGACACATAGGCTCAGTTTTTTGCTGCAGGGAATCTGGGAGATTGTATTCCTAAGGCAGCAGAGGTACATATGGGAATATACAGTGGAAGAGTTATTGTTTTATCTTGTCCATTTTCAAAACAGTGGGAAGCATGTAAATAAGGCAAAAACTGTCTCAGTGAAACATGAACAAATGTTTCTTCATGGGATCTTATGGTACTTTTTATCTTAAACATAAAATGGACCAAATGATGAGTGTGAGACACGAATCGGGCTTCCTGGGGTGTGTGGTCCGACGCATGCTGGATCCAAACAGGGAGGCGAATTCAGATCTTTAAGGAAAATATTTTGATGCTGACAAACAAGCATAGCAAGGAAAGAAAACATATTATGTACAGAGGAAAGAGATTCAAAGACTGCAGACCTTAAAGCATATTCAAAAACACTTAATCTAAACTTACAACAAAGTGCTGCTTGGAAGGTGGGAAAGCCACAACCTCTTAATGCACTGTCTCTTAGAGAACTAGGTATGCAAAATAGAATCCAAGGTCTTAATGCAACGAGATTGCTGTGTGTTTATCTCCCTCTCTTACAACACAAAAACAGTCTGCTGCTTTCTTCAGATTGATTCTGGTTCACATGGGGGCCTCTAATTCCTTTCCATTTTTAGACTGTTCAAGTTTTACAAAAATTTTCATTGCTTCTCCTCTTGATTATTCAATATTACTTGATAAAATTGGTCTCTGCTGCCCTATTTCTTTTTAGCTTCAGCCTGGCTGAGGTTCAGTTATCTCCAATTCCCTTTGCACTCTCCTTTAAAAGATTTCTTTTACACTGTAGAATTTTGATCACATTTCCTTATTTTACATTCTTTCAAAGGTACTTGTATTAAAAGAAGTAACTTTGTTTCTTGCGATAGTGCTTGCACTTGTATTTGTGTGGAATGACAGTGCTTTATTTAAGCATTCCCTAATTTGAAATTTACCTGTTCCTATCTCTCCTCTTATGTACAAGTTTCTCATGGCTGACCTTTGTTGGAAATAATCCAAGTAATTTTGTCAGGACGGTATCTCTGATAAAAGCAAAATTTATTCGCGATTGCAATGGCGGCATCCCGCAAGTAGGAGCGCCCTATGGACACAACATGACAGCCTTTATACCCTGTTTTCTCCCCCTTGCCTCCCCCTCCCCTGTTTCCTCAGTGGCTGGGTACTCCAGGTTCACAATCTTATCAGAAGGTTTACATTTGCTATTCACTTGTTAATTTATTTGTTATCTGGTGCCAGTCAGCAGTCATCCTGTTGTTTCCAAGATGTCTCGGTGCTCTCCTTGTCCTATTGATATGGTGATTTTCTTTAAGTCATCATCGTTAAACAAAGAGCACTGGGGGATGATGGCAGGCCTTCCCAATGTCTCTTCAGGCGCTTCTTCGGGCAGGCCATGGCTGTTCTCTGGTTTGCTCTCGTGCAGGATATTCTTGCAGTGTGTAATGACAAAATATACATATATACACCTATATACAGAGTGCGTTCCTGGGAAGGTTCGTCTATAAGATAAATGATGTAAACTTATCAGAGATCTTCCCCAAGTTAAGTAGAGGGACTCCCAGAAAGAACTATGATAGCGGAGATCATAAAATAAAAATAATATTATACAATTCTAATGCAGAAACAACACTTGATTCCCACAATTCCCCCCTTTTTCTTTTTTATACATTGTTGATTTCTGCAATTCTTTAAGGTTCACTTTTATAGACATCGCCCTCGTCTTCACTTTCTTTATCTCCCATCTCCTCTAATACCATAATTTTATCCAAATGTAATGGCTCCTTTAGTGCTTGCTTCAATAGTGCTCTCTTTATCAATCACTCTACTAGTCCCCTCAGAAAGGGGATAACACAGCAACCAGTGGCCATCAAGACTCCTGCTGCTACTATCAAAGAAGTAAATGTGCATACAGTCACCCCTTTCCATTTACCAAACCAGAACTCCAACCATCCAGTGACAGAAGTATCTATTCCTGATTTTTTTTTTCTTGCCACTTCATTGACAAGGGTGGCACCAAGCCCTTGCAATGCCTTCGTTATTACGTCATCCAGAGCTGTGTTATTGGGATGAAGGTGCAACAACAGGTACCCAGCGTTACATATACACTCTTTTATCATATCTTAGGAGTTCCTGTTTTATCAGGCCACCCTACTTGTGGCATATAACTGTCCTGCAGTTCTCTTTATTGCACTCTTTGTATAATTTGTAAATCTCCATTGATTATAACAGATGTAGTTAATCCAATCTACATTCTTGTTGATTATCACCCACCAGGACAGTGACTCAAACCCTGCAACAGTTTGATTTCTTGCCTTAAAATCATCGGGAACAACAAGAAGAGAAAAGTTTAAATCCTTAGCTTGCCCACATACCAAGCAATACTGATATGTAATAATGTTTGTCACAAGAGATACATAAGTATTTACATCAAATGCTGCACTCATCAAATCAACATTTCTAACAGTTACAAGAGCTCACATTTCTGTCCTTGGGATTCACAATTTTAAGGGTCCAGCTGATTTCAGTTCTCATTGTGTTCGATGGACCTTCTTAACTCTAGTATGATGTATCCACAATGCTTTCACTGTTGTGTGGGATGTTAGCAGCGCCTGGAACAGACCTACCCACCTTGGTTCCAGGGGCGAATCTTAAAGAGATTTGTTACATACATATTATCGAGCCATGTCAAGGCCTTGGGCTCTAGTTCCTAGAACCAGTTTCTCCTTTTCTCAAAGCCATTCCTGCAGACTTATCACATGCTCAGTTAGTATTTTGCTCCCTACTTGGGTAGAAATCCCCTTTTGTACAACATAAGGCCTTCTGTACAGTATTTTGAAAGGACTTAACCCCTCTTTGGCTCTAGGTTTTGTTCTGGTACTAAGGAGAGCCAAAGGCAACAACTGTGATCAGGATAGTCCAGCTTCCTGTCCCAGTTTTACAACCTGTGATTTAATTAGACGGTTCGTCTTTTTCCCCTGACCACTCGCCTGTGGTCTGTGTGCTATGTGCAATTGCCAATTTATTCCCAATGCTTGCTGACCTGTTGGACAATCTCTGCAATAAAATGAATTCCGTGGTTGAAGGGTATTGTTGCAGGACACCCAAACCTTGGAATAATCTCCTGCAAAAGTACCTTGGTTACTTCCTTTGCTCTATTGGTCCTGCAAGGGAATGCTTCTGGTCACCCTGAAAGGGCACTGGTTAGAACTAGCATATATCAAAACCCTCATTTTTCCTGGCAGTTCAAAAAAAAATCAATTTGCAATTGTTGTCCTGGAAGGTTCCCTTTCCAACAAGCCCCACTTGCACCCTGTTCCTGGTACTAGGATTGTACAGTTACTTTCTGGGGTCTGTACTCCCCATGTTTTATTATGTTCCCTTAGAACCAAATTCTATACAATACTAATGGGCACAACAGTGTGTCCATCTGGGTATGCACCCATCTGTCAGCTTGCTCTCTTCCCTTCATTAATTAGTTTCCTATCCTTTCTAGAGTACCTTTTAGGTTCTGACTAAGGTTCAGGTATTTCAAGTTTACCGTCTGGAATTAAAGCCGTTCACCAATTTCTTTTCCTTCAGCTGCCTGCTTTGCCACCTTATCCATCATCATGTTTCCAGTTTCCTGTACAGTGTCACTCTTCTGATGTCCTTTACAATGTATAACAGCCGTGATGTTCTTTGGTAGATTTACATCATGTTGAATTTATTTTCCTTGTGTGTCAGCAATCCTTGCTCTTTCCAGATGGTACCACGAGTGGGTACCACCCCAAAAGCATATTTAGCATCTGTCCATATATTTAAGGTTCTTGTCAAGGCAATTATTTCAGCCTTCTGAGTGGAAGTCCCCAAAGATAATGGTTTTGCTTCAATTACCTTGTCAATAGCAGTTACTGCATGTCCTGCCTTACGGTTTCCTTGTCTTCACAAAACTGCTTCCGTCGATGAATCCAGGACTCCTCAGCATCGTCCAATGGTTCCTCCTGTAGGTCTGACCAACTTGCACACGCAGTCTCCATGCAGTCACACACTGCTGGCTTGGAGGCAGCTCTGCATTGGCATTCTGGGTGTTCAGCAAGTTGCTTCCTTCTCTTTGATCGGTTGTTCTTTCTGTTGAGAAACTTGATAGCCATTTAAATCAAGAAATTCAGCAAGCTCACAGTCCATTGCACACAGTCCTTTGTTACTGTAGCATCCACGTACTGCAGTAAAGTTCCACTGTGAGATGGTGATCCCAAATCTCAGGCTCACGAGTTGACCAGTTCTCAAAAATCACTGGGCTGTTCTCACAACCCTGGGTATCGCTGTGCAGGTTAACTGAATTATTATTATTACTTTTAATTATTATTTTTTTTTTCTTCTCTCCATATTTGAGTTTTTCTATTCAAAGGCAAATAATTTTAGATTTCTTTTGCAAAACCAGGCAGAAAAAGGTGTACTTCAAGTCCAGAACAGTAAACTCCACCTGCTTATTCCTTAAATTGGTTAATAAAGATATACACCATGTGTTGTATATATTCAACTTTTCTATTAATTGCCCTCAAATCTTGTACCAAACTATAGCTCTTGCCATCCAATTTTTCATTTGCAAGATTGGGTGTTGTATTTGGATTTCTATCCAATTAGTAATCCAAAATAAAAAAAAAATATTTTTATTTCTTTTATCCTCCTACAATCTGGGATCCTCAAAGGGCATTGCTTTACCCTGGTTTGGCTGGCTCCTGTCTTTAACTTAACTTTCACTGGGCTGCATTTTTGGCTCTGCCAAGCATCCCTGATGCCTGCAATCCTGGTATACCCAATGTAGGATTTACGTAACTTCTCGCAGTACAACATTGCTTTTCCCAGTTTGTGTTAAAGCCAGACTTAAAATTTTCAGTCCATTGCTCTTGCTTGACAAGTAGTTCCAATCGTTTCTACTGAATTTAATCTCTACATTCAACTATTCTAACATGTCATGCCCAAATAATCGTTTTGGAGAACCTGGCATGTACAAGAATTTATGTATTCCTACTTGTTCTCCTAGCCTGTATTTAATTGGTCCAAAAAAAGTAAACTTCTCTTGCCAGTAGCTGCTACACCTATTACAAAAATCATCTATGGGTAATAGTAAGACGCACCCAGAGGTACCAGAAAATAAACCTCTTCAGCCTGCTTCCCCTGCTGCTTTCAGTCCTGGCAGGGTGGGACTCTCCCTGAGTCCTTCCAGGCTCCCCTTACCTCTTCTTCTAGGTAAGGACATCCCTGTTAACCTTGCTCAACTTTGCCTTCCTCAGTTTGTTTTCCCAAACCCTTTTCACTTTCCAAACTCTCATCATCACAAACATTACTAACATTATATTTCAGTTTCACCCCCTTCTCTCCCCAGGCTTCCAGTGCTCACACTGGATATCGGGTTTCCCCAGCTCTGCAGATGCCGGCTGTTCTCACTTCCAATGTCCGTCCCATCCCCATTCACAAGCACTGCACCCTTCACATCACAGCAGGAGGCTCCAGCCCCCAGCTCTTTCTCCCACTCCAAGTTGTTCTTACAAGCCGCAGTGGGGGGGGTGTGCGGGGATGTGTTCTCGTGCCGGCCCAACTCGAGTTTATTGCAAGCGTTTCCAGTTCAGATCATATATATTGATGTCTGAGAGTCTCCTTACACTTGTCAGTCTGTAGTGTCACTTCCTGTTGATTTCTGTTGGTTTTTTTTTTGTTGGTTTTTTTTTTGGTTTGGTTTGGGCTTTTTTGGTGCATTTCTTCTCCAGCTGTGATTTGTGGTCACCTGCATTTTTTCTGACAGGTACTAAGAGCAAGTCAAAACCTATCAAGTACTTCTGTACTTTCCTTTTGCTGGAGACTTCACGGATCATAATGACGTGCTTCTTCAGAAAGCAGAATACAATTTGGGTGTGCATGCCACCAATAATTGTGCTTGTCAAAAGAAGCAGATCATGTTATCATTTCATCACAGCAAATAAGATAATTCATAAGGGAAATCATGTTGTACAATTTCTTTCATTTCATGGAATTTAGCGTAGATCAGGGAGAAAAAAATATGCTCTTCAGGCAAAGCATCCAGAATAGTATAGAATGGCAATCACTTGCAGAGTTTTTACAATGCCTTGGTGATTCCTGATGATTAAAATACTTGAGATTTCAACAATAAAAACACTGTATGACAAGTTGAAATAAAGAATGATTATAGTTAATTATTGCATAACATACCTAATTTTATTCAATTAAGAACTGTTTTATCTTTTTCTGTAAAGATATGTGCTGCTGGGAGCACATATAAAGTAGCATTTCAGCTGTGGTGATTGAGACTCTGTTCTGTCTTTAGTATGACTCTGGACTAATCCATTAAATCATATTTGTTGCATGCTGATGACTGCATAAGTGAAGTCTGGATCTGGGCCAGATTACACATGCTAAAACCTACCGCAATTTTTAATTTTGATTTACAATAATGACATTCAAATTACTTTTTAAACAGCTAATCATCAGTCCGTTGCTCTCAAAGTAAAGTAAATAAGTGACCTCAAACACAACAAAAACAGTTAGCTTACAATAAATGAACAGGAAACAACAGTTTATCAAGGAACGAGTTATGAAAATAAGGTTTTTTTTCATTTTCATATTCTTAGCTGACATTTTTGTAGTAACTCAAGTATGTTCTTAAGGAGTTGTTTGAAGAAATGGATTAATTATGTGAAGCTTGTTCTTTGTAGCCTGACTGCAGATGTGTGAGCCAGCCTGGAGGTGGGTGCAGAACTCCCAGGCTCACTGAGGGCACGGGGAGCCCGGGTTGGCACAGTGGCAACTCCAAGCCCCAGCTTGTGTGCTGCTTTTGCCTGTGAGCATCCTGGTGAGCCCTTCTCCTTTGCTGGTATCCTTCTACCTAGTGGCACTCTGGGTGCTGGACGCATCCTGCTAACGATGCTGAGTGGCTCAGTTAAAGCATGTATAAAAACTACCTGTAGCACTGACTTAAAGCATGGAAGAAGAGCCAGTACTTTGTTTATCATGGTGCTCCTCTTGCAGATACAAAGAAAATCAATATGTTGTTATATCCTGGAATGATCTCCTTGAATTCAGTCACTGCATAACACGGTTATTATCTGAGACTTAGGATAGAGAAGACAGTCCCAATTTTGCTTTATGTTTACTGATTTCAGGATTTTGCTTTGCAAAAGGGAAAACTAAGAATCCAACATCCTTCTGACGTCTTTATAGGTAGCAGTACCTGTCTGGAAATAGAGAGCTGCAGGGTAGATGGCAGGTTCTACACAAGAGAAAAGGGAAGCTCAAAGCAGAGGAAATGGCCAGCAGCAGGAGACTTTGCAGTGAAAGGCTGTAGCAGCAATGCTAAGCCACAGCCTGAAGCAGTGATTGAGCACCTGGTGGGAAGGCAGGGCCAACCCAGGACAGCTCACATACATGCAGTGCAGCTGAGTGACTGGAAGGTTGGAGCCAGGATCCCCCCCTTCCCTGACCTCATTTAAGGGCTGGTAGTGGAGGTGAAGGTATCCCACAGCTGTAGCCTAGGGCTTTACTACCCTGCTATTGTTGCTGTGCTTCCCAACACGTTATAGTGTTACACGGGCCAAGGCAATGGCAACTGCAATGTTGAAAATGAAGGTTTTAATAACCACAGTTCAGAATAATGATCAAGTGCTTTTCATCGAGCTTGACAGAGACGACTTTGCTCAGCAAAGAACCTTATCAGCAGTGCTGTGTAACAGTCATGACAGGAGGTTGTTTGAACTCAAGACCCAGTGAGAAAGCATTCTGTGGATTGTCTTGCCAGATTCTGGTTTTGTTCAACACTGTCAAATGCAGAAGATGCAGAGTAGGATCTTTTTTCTAGTTTGATTTTTCAGTGTTAGATATAAAATATAAGCATGCATACGTGAAATTGTTCTGTTGACTGGTGTATATAAATGCTAATGTGATCAAAATAACCCACCGTGTTTAATATTTCAAGGGCATTCTACCAAGTGTCCTCTTCAGAAACAAACCCTCCAGCAGTACACAATGACTTAAAGCTGTTACGATAATGTAAGCCTAAGGAATCCAGCAAATCATGTTGAAGAAACCAGCTCTTTATACTGAAATTTCCTGCATCTAGCAGTCATCTAACAGTTGAGAGCTCTGTAAGTGTACTAATTATAAGAGTTTGACAGCTCTGTAATTTTTGTTCTTTGTGGGTCTCTACAGTGTATTAGTAAGGTGATTCATAAAAAAGTCAGCTATAGATCTGGAGTTAGTAATATCTGGACTAAGAGAAGATATTTCAATCACTTTATACAGAGTCAGATTTGCTGTTGCATTTTAGGGGATACTCTTCTCAAGATAAATGCTCCACTGCACCACAGATTATTAAATCAGATCAGTCTGATTTATCACAAATACATTTCACAATGCAATAGAATTTATACTAGGATGGTATTTTATTTTAAGGTGGAAGTTTCTTCAGCCCTGTGGAAATGTGTAGGAAGGGATTAGGAACGTTGAAGTTTTGTCATTTTACTACTTCTCACTGGATTGTTGCAAACTCTTGTATGCTTAATATTTAGAATATCATTTTGCAAATAGAAGTCTGTATTGCTCTATAATTTTTCCATAATTTCATTCAGCATTTGAGTACTCTAGCTTTAAGCTTGATAGGTAACATTTCTACTACTTCTTCTCTCATCATTTCAACCAGTATTGGTGACTCATGAAATGGCTGTGAGTAATGCATCTGATGCTGCCGTACTGTTGGTGGTGCTCACCTGCTACAAAATTTGGTGTAGTTACTGGGAGTGTAAAAAATGGTTTTTGAGAGAATGGAAATTGAGAAGAGTGTATCTGTGATTTGTAAGTGCACTGTGTGTTTCATGAACCATGCTCAATGCTTTTTAAATGGTGGCCTTTAATTCTAGTCAAGCACCACAGGAAACAGATCCAGTCATCAAAATGTTTTAACCAGAAATTTATTTCCTGACTCAGTAGGAGAAAGGCTGTAGTCTTGCTCTGTCTTTCTTGTTTTCCTACCTGGGTTTGGAGAGGAATAAGGCACTGATTGATCACCTGAGGTGAGGACTGAGTCAGCCCTGGGAGCACAGGTGAAGGCAATTCAGCTGTGTGACCAGAAAGGGTAGAGCCTTGCTCCACCTCTCCTAGACCCCGTTTAAGGGCTGACTGTGATTGGAGAAAGGTTTCTTTCTAGAGATCCCTCCTTTTGGAGTTTTCTACTGTGAGCCTAGGACACAGGTTAGATTTCATTTTTTTGTGTTTGTTTTTTTATTGTTTGTTTTTGCTTTTTATTTTTCCATGCATTTTTCTAACTGTGAACCTGTAAAATACCATCCCAACCGTTCCTCTTTTCTGACTGTACGCTTGTTAACTGTGCAGTCGGTTAATGCATTA